TATAGAATATTAAATAAAAGGTTAATTTAAGATATTTCTATTAAATATGAAATCACAATATAATTTAATAATAAATAATAAAAGGATTAAATTTAGTAATAAGCATACGATGAATTATAAATTTAAAATTTTATACGCACCAAAAATCACTTTGATCGGGCACTAATCTCGATGTAAACACATGTTGAAATATTCTAAATTAAAATTCGGGATCATCCAAACTATGATTTCAATATGCTTATAGTCAAATTGATAACCTCGGGGAGATGAACCCAATGACACCAAATTGAGTCCAATCCGAGCCCAAATCAAAGGATCAAAGCCAACTTGAAAGCTTTAGAGCATTAGTTGAATAATCAAATGATATACAAATATGACATATTTATATTCGAATTGAGTGACTCAACGAGACAAATCTAACAGACCCAACGTCACTCAATTCTAACATCATTAAAGCACTCAAATGCTCAATAAATGCTCTATGATCAAGGAAGCTAATATCATCCATCCGATGGAGAACACTCAATATGCCCTTAATTTTCTCTATAATTATTAGCCATGTGACTCACAAAAAAAAAAAAAAATATATATATATATATATATATATATATAGAGCGTCAGTTTTCAAATTTGATTTATAATGACTCCAGAAAAATATTTGGTAGAGTCCAAATACGGGCTTTACTACGAACCCTCCAACCACCATTGTTGTCGACTAAAGTCCCTTCAACCAACGTCGCCCATTAACTATGGCCACTACGACCGCCTTCTCTTGTTGGTTGTTGTCCCTCCAACCACCGTCGCTCGTCGGCTACAACCATTGCAATTACCTTTGCTTGTCGACTAGGTCTTTCTGACCATCATTGCTTGTTGACTGTGGTCTCTTTGATCACAATTGCCCGTCGACAACGATCTTTCTGACCTCCATAAGATGTCGACTACATCTCTATTGACTAAATAAACAAAGATGCCAAAAATTCTCTTAAAAATAACTGCCATATTATAATACGCTCTATATAATATTTATTTGCTACATTGAGCTAGCACCCTTCTCCTAAGAAGGGTATTATCCATAATTAACCACAAATACTAGTATATTCATTCAAACTAGGCCAAAACCCATAAATTTTACCCTTTTTAAGATTTTTCACATAAAAATCTTAGTGTATTTTATGAATGTTGCACCCTTATCTCTTATCTATTTATGTGTTGGATCTTCGTATAAAGTTACAATGCTAAACTCTATATCTCTTTACCGCTGTAAATATTCTAGGACACAATAGTTTGACATCATCAATGGAAAATGATTCTTGGCTTGGGGTTAATCTTTGCTATAACCTAAAAAGGTCATTCACCTAAACGTTCTGGCCATCGTTGAAGCAAGATAGTCCCTTTGCTATGATCTATTATTAGGTTTGAAACAAGCCTTGAGGGAAAACTTAGGCATAGTTTTATTACTTCTCAACCATCAACCTCTGCTGCATTAATTTTGTGGAAAACAGATTTAGACTAGGGGAAACCTTGGCTGCAACCTCAAATATTATAATGGCCAAGAAAATTCTTCTAATGTTTTCAATGTCCAAGATAATATCTTTGGAAACCATTTTTTTATAAGGCTCCCAACAAATGCAAGGATGTTTCCACTAAATTTTAAACAGATCGATCTTCACTTTAGATTAGGGTTACGCACAACATTCTCCCCCTCATAATCAAGGAATAATCGATTACAGGGAGATTCGATTTGACCTCTTCTATACAATTTAATGTCATTGAGCAATGTTATGACAAAAAACCTTGGATAGCTCAAATATCCTTGATCGATTTTTTGATTTAGTCCATACATGTTAATACCATCGAGCAATATTCTGACAAATAACCTCGGATAGATCAAATATCTATGAAGGATTCCATCGACCTCTTTCATGCAACACTTGAAACCATATATATCAACTCTTTTTAGGAAAGATTGGAGCTCGACCAAGATTCAATTAAATTTCTATTGATAATAATTTTCATTTTATATATTAGCAAAATTATTTTATTAATTTTTTGTTTTATTATATATATGATTTATAGTATTATTGGTGAAGATATGTCAAATAATTGTATTGATAAGTATCAAGAATATTTGAATATAATATGGAGCCAAAATATTTACAAATTAATTGAAAAAGAAATAATTGTATTAGGCCCGTAAATACACATTGAATATTTGAATTTCAAAATTGTTTACATATCTACTCTCTCTCCGACGAATTATAAATAAAAGTTTCCCACTATCGAAATGATTTTATACCTTCAATACGTCAAAGAGGTGGTCGCGCCTCATAATTATAATTTTTAATCACAAGTTGCTAGAAAGGTTCAAATATATATTTTCGAACTCCACAAGCTTCAAAGTCTGAAAATGGGTGAGCAACTCATACGTCACAAAAAATCACATTGATTGGGAACGAATCTCGATGTAACACGTAAGTTGAAAACTTCTAATTTAAAATTTTGGATCATCTAAACTCTGATTTCAATAAGCTTATAGTCAAATTAACAATATCAGGGAGACGAACCTAATGACACCAAATTGAGTCCAATTTGAGCCCAAATTAAAGGACCAAAACCAATTTGAAAGCTTTAGAGTATTAATTGGATGACTAAATGATATCCAAATATGACATTCTTATAATCTAATTGAGCGGCTTGACTAGATGAATCCAACGAGCCTAAGATCACTCAATTTAGACATCATTCAGGCATTGAAATGCTCAATAAGTACTCTAAGATCAAGATAACTAATATTAGCCGTCCGATGAAACACTCCCAACATGCCCTTGATTTTCTCCATACTTACTAGTCATGCCACTATAAAAAAACTATAAATAGCTCTCCATTCTTTACATGGTGAGAGAGGAGAAGTGGAGAAAGCTTAAGAGCTCTCTTGCACTCTCCATCCAATGCTGCCACCACCGAAGTTCCTCTGACCACTGTCTCTCCCCAACCATGATTCCTTCAACCACCATTGCTCTCCAACTACAGTCCCTTCGACCACCGTCGCTCGCTGACTATGGTCTCTCTGACCACCATCATATGTTGACAGTTGACTACGATCCCTCTAGCTACCATCGCTCACTAACTATGATCCCTTCACCCGTCATTGGCCACCGACTACAGTCCACTGACTATAGTCCCTCCAAACACTGTCGCCCATCGACCATGACCACTACGACCACCTTCGTTTGCAGACTACGGTCCCTCCAACCACCATCACCCGTCGACTACGAACACTATGACCACCTTCAATTGCCGACAAAGATCTCTCTAACCACCATTGCCCGTCAACTATGGCCACTATGACCACCTTCGTTTGTCGAATACGGTCTCTCTGATCACCATCACCCTTCGATTTGGTCCTTTCGACCTCCGTAGCCCACTGACTATGTCCCTACTGACTAAAAAAATAAAAATGTCAACACTCTCTTAAGAACAACTACTATATTGTAATATGTTCTATACAATTCCCTCCTCCTAGGAAGGGTATTATATGTAAATATGTAATCAACTAGTTATACTAGTGGATTTATTCAAACTGAGTCATGCCCTTAGGTTTTTTTCCTTTTCGGGATTTCTCATGTAAAAAACTTGATATATGTTATGAATATTGCACCCTTATATCTTATTTGTTTGTGTGCTGGATCTTTATATAAAGTTAGGATGCTAAACTCTACATCTCTTTGCCGCTACGAATATTCCAGAACCCAACAAAATTATTAAAGTTCTAGCACTTGATTTTTTCCCAATTAAATCGAGAAGATAAATATATCTTTCATTTTTAAAATAAATTCATTCATTTGAGCATTTAGTGGAGCTTTATTTTTACTATTAAAATGCACGAGCACATGATGCATATTAATAAAATTTTAAAAACTAACGAATTATATTAGAAAATTTCAAATTAATTTATGATATGTCATATGATGATATTAAATATTTTATGAATATTACATATAATATTTGTATATTTACATATGGTTTATACATAACCAATAGGCATATAAACTTATATTATTTTTCAGATATATTCATTAGAAGTGTTATATGAGGTGAAAAAATGTGTTAATGTGTAATGCATGATGTCCAAATTGATTGATATTTTTGACATCGATGTAATACCCTTTAGAATATTACATTAGTCATTAAAAAAAAAATCAGACATACAACAGAATCTACAACATTAAAAACTTATATTCAGCATGCATACGTGAAAAATCTAATCTAATATTTATATTAAACAAGGATTACTATGTAAATTCAACTTAACCATCTCACAAAATAGGAACATAGATGAAAGATTGAATTAAAAAATAATAAAAAAAATAGAATGCTAACTAAAACATACAACAACACTTTTATATGATATAATTAAATTTATGAAAATATATTGAACACACTAAACTTCCATTTGATTGAGAAATAACAAACTGTTAGCATGCATGAGTGAAAATCCTAATCCAATCATGAATGAAACTCATTTAAAGAAGTTGTATAATAATAATAATAATAATAATAAGTGAATGAAAAATTTAATGATGTTATGAATTTGTCAGAACATTAATAATTAAAAAACATAGTAAAATAAAATACACAAAAATAAAATTTAAACTTTAGAGTAAAATGTATTGATTCTTATTCTAAAAATATTAATGAAAAAAATAAACAAGACATATCAAGTGTTGACCTCAATTTTAACTCGAGCGCCCTCGAGAGTCTTTAATTGATTTAATTGAGCCCCGTCGGGTTCAATTCGAACTCGAATCGACTCGAGTTGTACTCGACGAAGTTCAAATAATGTGATTAACGCCCATTTGACTATTCTAAATGATTGGAAATTGTTCCCATATTAATAAAACAAGCCAACGACAGAGATTTCATCAAAATTCAAATACTAAGCCGTTGCCTCGGTTCTGTGGCGTGATATGCTCATTTCAGAATAAATGCAGAGCAAAAATTTCGGCGAGGGTCTGGATTGGCGAATAGAAGGAGCGTGCATGAGGGGAGGGTCGGCGGCTCCCTCTCGGTTTTTCTTCTCTTGGTTCGTAATCCCAGGGGGGATCGATAGCCCTCCCCCTCTCTGAGTTCGTGAAATCCAGCAGGACCGAAGCCCCTTTGCTCTCGTCCGACTCTACCTCCAGGACCGAACTCGACGCCTGCTCGAATCTCCCTCTCTTCGGGTGACTTGGCCAAAACATCCCCACCCGAATCCTCCCTCTGTTTGCAGAAGCCAGGCGACGGCCCCCTTCTTCTTGGATCTCCCTCCCCCACGCGACTGCAGCCGACTCTTGCTTGACTTCACGAGGCAAATTTGAGCCCAGGTCGCAACCTTCCCTTGCCTTAGCCGAGCTCTTCCCTAACAACAGGGCTTTTGGTAAGGTTACATTTTGGCTATTATATTGAACGATGCTTCCTCTTCCTCCCTAGGGCAGGTATATTTCTTCTTACTCATATGCTCTTCTTCTCCATATTTATCTTCTTCCACCTTCTTCCTTCTCTACATTTCTTCTCCTTTTCACCTTGCTCATCTACTTCCCTTGCCTCTTCTTCAAGAATTGTAGGAGTTGAGTGACTAATCTATTGAATAAGGTTCTGTAAAGCTCATTCATTCCTGCTAGAGTTGGTTTCTTGTGGCTTTGTGAATGAAGTAACTCTCATTTTATAAATACTTCATCTGACAAATCAAGTTAATTGATCTTGAAAACATAAATGTGTCACATTACAAGATTTTAAGGGACAAGTATATCTCTTGTGTTGAGAATGTGTCTACTGCAAGTCTGAATAGCTCTTTGCTTTGAGTTATCTTAGAAAGGCTAGGTGTGATGTGACAATATATTTAAAGGATATTGTTTTATATCATCTCTTAGATCTCGCACTCTAGTTATTCGATCAAATGCCTTAGACAGAATGTCCATCTTTTAACTTGTGAGTGAGCTAAAATTTTGTTTTGAGTGATCAGTTCATTATCCTGGTGAAGACCTTACATTGAGTAGGCTCTTGTTATAAGATGAAAGAAGTTCTGAGCTTTCTTGGTAATAAATTTGGCATGCTTGTTTAGTGATATGCTCGGTTAAAGGCAATCTACTGAATATCCTTCTTTTCTTGACATCCAAGATTTAGAAAAAGGTATAACTCCTTGAACTCATGATGATAGCTTAAGAGTTTATTGGATTAGAGCTGTTGACGCCTACTTTGATGTGGTCGATACCTAACAATATTCATATGGATGTATAGAGGTTCTCTACTAGTTTGAAATTCTATGGGTATTATGCTCTGATGAGGTTATTTAAGCTTGAGCACATGGCTAACAATAGTTCTCAACACATTAGAGAATATGGTTATTTTGCCAAATAGATTAATAACTCATTCTACAAATTGATTGAGGCTTCTTTATTAAACCTTAATGGGCACGATGGCAGGATGATATAACCTTGTAAGTTCTTCAAATTCTTTTATCCCGTAGTTATTTGAGCTCCATGTCTGAGTAAATTCTGAGCATATTCTATTGTAGTTGTAGGCCTTATTTGGGTTTTATTTTTTTAGAAAATTTTAAGAAAGAATATGAAGGAAGCAAAAGCGAAATTTTAACAGATTGAGTTGGAAGCTTTCTTAGACCATTTGATAGCATATGATGTAGAGTTGGTTGGAGAGCAACCATGAGCTTCATAGTTTTCAACTTATATCATGGGAAGCATGCTTAGTTGCAAGGTTGATGGATGATGAGATATCTCTATGCTTATTCGAAACATGTTTCTTCTTCACTTGTTGGGTATTTATGCGAAAGATATGATTGGCAAGTATTACTTCTTTGTAAAAATTTCTATAGCTTTTATGGATTTCTTTCTCATTGGTTTTGTGAGAAACGAGTGCAGATTTTGAGGGTTTTCTCACTGTTTTCATACAATAACCCCTACGGCACTTGGGTGAATTTCTTATTGCTTTTATGTGGAAATTCCTACTGCTTTTATGGAGCTTTTCTCACTGCTTTTGTGAGAAATTAGTGTAGTTTTTGAGTGGTTTTCTCACTAAGTTTTACACAGGAATTTCTACAGCATTTATGAGGAACCTTCTTTGCTTTCATGAGAAAATTCTTATATCTTTTGTATTTTATTTTTCACAGTTTTTTTTTTTGTGAGAAACGAATGCTGATTTTGTCGGTTTTATACTCCGAACTAATTTGGAGATGAGGTGTAGTGCTTTGGTGCAAGGTGGAGCTCCATATGGATAGTATCTCATAAAGTTCATGGTTATACAAAGAGTTTATGCTTTCAAATTAAAGATCTTTATGAGCATAGGTTATTTTGTTCGAGAGATTCCACTGCCATTTGATATTTCTTATATATGCTTGCTTACAATTATTATTATTATTATTATTTTTGAATTAAAGCTTTCTTTGGATTCTCAATGGCATGTAACTTCAAGGAACCACAACTGTGATCAATAGCGAGGTTCATGTACTATGATCTGAAGAACATTACTCTACTTTTCTTTGTTCGTGGATACCGTTGTCAATTGAGCAACCTGTTATTTGTCTCTTCTTTTATTTCTTAAACACCTTCTTTTCTTTTGGATTATTTTCTTTCTGGGTTTTGGGTGCTATACAATGTGAAGTGTGGTAGGTATTACTGGCTTTGAAATTATAAGGCTGTGTCAGATCTATATTTGTAGTTGATGGGCTTGTCGTGGAAGAAGCATGGCTATTTGGGTTGTTGCACCAAGTTCTTCTGTTGTGGCTGTTTTCAAATATAAGTGATCAGTGGCTAGGTTTATAACCGTGTCTATAGTTACTGTTTGCCAGCTATCAGTGGATCTTTCATGGTTGAGCCTTCCTTATCCTTAGTCTGATTTATCTCTTGAACTTGAAATTTTTGTACTCGAAAGTTGCTTTGGAAAACCATATATAAGAAAGCTTTCTCAAACGAAAACTTAGAATGTCTTTTTTACAAGATAGTTATGATTAAGGAAGAAAATACACCAATGATGAATTGCATCACCATCTTCGTAGCCGTATGATTTCAAGATTTTTTGGCATTTATGCCAAGGCATGATTGTTTGCAGCCTGTCATATTTTATTCTTCGTTATAACCTGATGATTTGCAACCACAAGAGTTTTCTAGTGACCCTAGGAAGCTGTAATATCACATTTTTGTAATGTTATATTGTATCTTATACGATAAAAAAATTGTGAGGGCAATGATGATGTTGACGGAAGTGTAGAGAATGTAGCCATCAGCTGCACTTCTGCTATTTAGTATCTTTATGTTTCCTCTGATAATGATGATTTGGAATTTAGCCATTAATTGCATAAGGTTGCTATGGAATATCTCTATGTCTCCAACGTTGCAAGTAGTGGTAGGCTTTTCCTCTTTATGGCTCTGTTCAATTATTATTTATTCATAAATTTTTGTTGGTTTCAAGGATATATGGCCACTCAACTATTTTGTTTCTTGTTAGCATAGACATTTTCTTGCATAATTATGTGATAGACAGCAAAAAGGTGTTTGGTTTCAACATTAAATACATGTGGTGCCTCTTGTTGGAAAACATGTATGATTTGCTTTATATTGAGAAGATTTGTGATTTGATTCATGATTGGGAAGGTTTACAAGTAGCTTCATGTTGGAAAGTGTTGCAAATTACTTAATGTAGGAAAGTTTCATATGTTCTTTTATTGAAAGCTTTACAGAAAGTTTTGCAAACTGTTTTGTGTTATGAAAATTTTGCGACTTTGTGATTGTTTTATTATGGAGAATTTTGTAAAGTCTTCTTATGGGAGATTTCCTATGTTTTTTTTTTACCCCACACCAAATGTAAAAAAAACACTTGGTTGATTTTGCGTCAAAAAAGAGTTTTTTTGGTGTTTTATTTTCTTTTCGATAAGGGGTTTTATGTGTTGTTTCATTTGGAAATTTCTTAAGTAAAATTTTGGGATTTGAAGTGTGATAGGTAGCTTTGTGTTGGAAGCTTTTTTTTTTTTAAGTGTCTTTTTGGAGCATAGTAGTCCTTGCTTATTTGAGTTATCTTTCTGTAGTGTTGGCCTCTAAAGTGGGGTTTTTGGGTAAATGGGGTTAGAGGCTCATTTGGAGTTTTGGTTTTGAGAACTTGTCCCCCTTCGTTGTTTTTGGACTTTATTTAGGTAATAATTTGGATAGTCATTTTAAATATATCAAGTGTTTTGTTTGGATTGTAGGGACAGCAAAGGGCATTGAAAACTTCTTCCTCCCTATTCATATCACACTGAATCTGGGTGAAGGTCATTTTAGAGACACACTTGACTTCAAAGAAGTGTGCCTAACAACAACGATGCCTACATTCCTTTCATTTTGATTTTCATTCTTTTTTTTATTCCATTACATTTTGTCGCATCTTTCTTTGCTTTTAGAATTTTTGTTGTCTTTTTTATTTTTGCTCTAAAGTTGAATGCTCACAAAAGAATAAGAAAACCCAAATAGCAAGTGATCCATCCGGTGTGCAAATGATAAAGAGGTACGTTCTTATTTAATTTACACTTTCATTTTGATATTATTTTCTTATCTTATAAAACATGATCTCATACACCTTTATTCTGTGTTTTGTGAGGCACCCTTTTGGAGAGCAAAGGACAAGGAGCATTGGAGCACAAGGCGAATGAGCATGGACAGTCGGACCCGAGCATTAGTCGCACCCATTCAGTCTCGTGGGGACGCTACGGGCGGAACCACCGGATCATAACCCCCTGGTGCTGTTAGTCTCCTTAAAACTTAGAAAATCTTTAGGGACCCTCATGTTTGTACGCTCCATACCTTTTTGGACCATATAGAAGCTTTATTTATAACTAGGGTTGCTTTTTTTTATTCTAAATCCCTAAACCTGTTGACACATGTACGAATGCCCTAAGGGTTAAAAACACATCTTTTTTCCTTCCATAATTTTAGTGACACCTAAGGACAAAAATTAAGGACAGAGTCTTAGATAACATAGATTTAGGGTGCATGTTCCTTTTAGTACAGATACTTTAAAACATAGAAAATTTAGTGACACAGTTTCCTAGGATTCGTGTCTTAATCTATTAATGACCAATTAATAAAATCTGTAATACTCTGAATAAAAAAATATTAAACCCATCTTAGATTTAGGGTTCAAGGCTACTACATCGGCTGTCTCTAGTAGTATACCTAAATAATGGGTAGGTCTCTTTTCTTCAGGGACTATAAATCCTGTTTATCTATGTCATATAGATGACGCCACTTCCATCTATTCTCTTTGTGTGTTTTGAGTGATTGTTTTTTTTTCTTCACTTTCTCAATGCCTTAGTCCCTCCAGATGCTGAGATGAACCGTGCATGTTGACTAAGCCATTTGAGCCCCTTCCCTTTTCTTTTGAGTAGGAACTTTCTAATCTTCCTTTTGTGTGCCAATCCCTTCTTGGAAAGAATAATATTGGATCCTTAATCGAGAGTTTTCTCGGGCCCTAGGCTCGAGATGTAATTAACACGGGGGCTTGTGCCCGTGGGAAACGGAATTCCACAACAAATAAACCCCACTCGAGCTAATGTATCGAGTGGGGGAAACCCGTTGTTATGATTCAGGTCGTATATATTACTACCCATCGGGGTGCGCTGACGAGAGCCGCTATCCTCAATGGTTAGTCGTATGTACGATCTAATCTACCCTTCTATTGGCCCGTTGGCGAGGAGCATGGAGGCATGCAATCGTCTCTATCCCTCGGGGTGGATGCGGTCGTATACCCCTTCACAATCTTTTGTACCAGTAGCGGTGTCCTTTCGGAGGTCCACATCAAGTATTAGTAAGAAATATAGATATTAAACATGAATAAATTATATTTTTAAATTTCCTTAATTTTTATTCTTTTAGGTTCAAGTTCGTCAACTTCATTAAAATTTTTATTTATAGTTTGAACGGTAAGGGAATGAAATGTTCGACTGTCATAAGCTTTATCTTGAGCCTTCATTAAGAATGTCATCTCCTTGTCAAAAATATTTTTGATGATGTTATTATAATCTTCTATCTTTGATGCCTACAAAAAAAAATTAAGATTATGAATATATAAAATTGAATATAAATAAAATAATACATAGAAAAAATATATTTACATTGATTTTTTCTAATTTTGTAACTAGCATGCCAATTATCTGTTCCGCTTCATTATCAAAAAGTGTAAATATTGCAGTTGAATTATTATCTTCAACATTCAATTTGATAAGATATCTGTATAATTTAAGATGAAATATATTAACTAGACTTATATTATTTAAACAAATTTGGATTACATCATATTTATATTTTACCTCAAACTATATTGGTGTAAATATTGCAGTTGAATTATTATCTTCAACATTCAATTTGATAAGATATCTGTATAATTTAAGATGAAATATATTAACTAGACTTATATTATTTAAACAAATTTGGATTACATCATATTTATATTTTACCTCAAACTATATTAGACATTTTCCTTTTTATATTTTGTACATTGTACAATATCATCAATAACAGTAACTTTTAATTTACATGTATTGCATGAATTGTATCATATACTTCTTTCATAATTTAGTGCTTTTGCAAAAACTCGTGTATAATAATACTTTATATGAAAGATATTAAAAAATTTTAAAAAAATCATAATAAAAATTATTAAATTTAATATCTCTCATGATGAATGTTCAAATGTATTGATCTTTTGCAAATCTGTCATCAAATATGTTTCAAAAGTAGATGATGAATGTTAATGAATATTTTTTTTAGACCTATAAATTTAAATTTAAATATTAAATAAAAAAATAAAAAATATAAAAAATTAATAAATAATAATTAAATATAAAACAAAATATACTATTATATGATTTCTTTTGATGATAGCAAATTTGAATTAATTTCTATTATCGTTGATATTGTTGTTGCGAGTGTGAAACCTAATATTATAAAATACAATAGAAATCAATATAATGTATATACATATTAAGGTAGATGTACCATTAAAATATTTTTCGATGACGTCTTTTGCTAAAATGATTGTTTTTTCATTCCTTAAATCTTCAAGTTGTTTGACTTCTACTATTTCAAATGTTTTCCATAACGTAAAAGTACACATTTCTGACCTTTCATAAAATAAAAAAAGTATAGTATATGAGTTAAATATAATTATAAATAAATAAATCAACGTTATGTACATTAAGTCAATAACTTGTAAATCTCATTTGACAATATTCTTTTTATTAGTATGTCTATAGATCATTTGTACTTTAGGAACTTTTATAACTATTAAAATGATATATGCAGAAAATTTAAGAAATTAAAATTAATTGTAATAAAATAATAAATCATAAATAATCATAAAATTAATAAAAAAATTAAATAACTAACCTGATGGCAAATTTGGATTTCCCTTGATATCTTCAATTATTGATAAGTTAATTTTTTTTGAATCTATATTATCTGTGACAGGTAGTTGTATGTCTGATGTATTGTTTAAAATAATCTCAAATTTATTATTGACATTATAAAAATATTTATTAATTTCTTTTATTTGTCAATTTGAGAAAATATAAGTTTTCCATTATGTAAAATATCATGAAATCTATGGATTATTTTATTGAACATGATCGCATATATTTTTAAACGCTGAAAAATAAGATAAGAAGAAATATAATATATCATATTAGTTATTCAAATAATAAAAAAAATTTAATCTATATTCAATTTCATATTAGTATTTTTAATAAAAATTAAAAAAATATTAAAAAATTTCTTTAAAAAATTAATTACATCCTTATCCATTAAAGTAAGTTTCTGGATCCTTCCTTGCCCAAATTTGAATTTTCGATCGATGTCAATTTGAGTTATAACAACAATAATACACCAATAACGTTGGTGAAGAGATAAATTTCTGATAAGACTTGAAGCCTCCATTAATCTTTATCTAATATTAATAAAAATATGAACTTTGTGAGCAAAAAAAAATGTTAATAATCAACTAATTTCACTTATTTAAATATATGTTCATACATGTTGATTGCTTGAAAGTATTGAAAATCTCTTTATATACAATATTTTTTGTATAAGAATATTGAGTTGCAGCATATTTATCTAGTATAATAAGTAATTTTGTTTGACTCATTGATATATCTCTTGATAATGCTACATATAATTGGCCAAGTGAGAAAACAGTTTTATTTATATTCAATTTTACATATGCATAATCTTAAATTTTTTGTAGGCATTGAAGATAGAAGATTATAATAATATCATAAAAAATATTTTTGATAAGAATATGACATTTTTAGTGAAGTCTCAAGATAAAACTTATGGCAGCCAAACATTTTGTTCCCTTACCGTTCAAACTATAGATAAATATTCCGATGAAGCTCGCAAAATTGAACCTAAAAGAATAAAAATTGAGGAAATTTAAAAATATGATTTATTCATGTTTGATATCTATATTTTGTACTGATACTTGATATGTCTTGTTTATTTTTTCTTTATCATTTTTAAAATAAGAAGCAATACATTTTACTCTAAAGTTTAAATTTAATTTTTGTGTATTTAATTTTATTATGTTTTTAATTATAAATGTTCTGACACATTATCACATCATTCAATTTTTCACTCACGTATTATTATTATTTTTATTATTTCTATACAAATTCTTTAAAAGAGTTTCATTCATGATTGGATTAAATTTTTCACTCATGCATGCTAACTGTTTGGTATTTCTCAATCAAATGGAAGTTTAGTGTGTTCAATATATTTCCATAAATTTAATTATATCATTTAAGAGTGTTGTTATATGTTTTAGTATGCATTCCATTTTTTTATTAAATTTTAATTCAATCTTTCATCTATGTTCCTATTTTATGAGATGGATAAGTTGAATTTACATAGTAATCGTTGTTTAATATAAATATTAGATTAGATTGTTCACGTATACATGCTTAATGTTCTATATTCTCAATGAAATGAAATATGCATCTTATTTAAAACTAATATTATAAATGTCTCACAATAATCAAAAAGATTATAAATGAAAATTCTTGATGTGCTCATCTATTGTAAAAAAAAAATTTACTATAACTTCTAGCTATTGACGTATCTTTAATATCTTATGTTTTTTGCAGTACATATTTCTATATCATGATTCTTCACTACATATCCAATAAATTATTTAGAGGTAATATTATACCAAAATTTTTTAAAACTTTCGATGTCGGTCTCAAGCCCGGATGAAAAATGTTGAGGATTTGTTATTTGTGTTAGTTCTCTCATATTAATATTGCTATATAGGTTTTATCTCAAAATTACAATTTAGATGCAAATCTTTGCCTTCTCCGACTTCTTCAGGTTAATGCTCTCCTCTTAACTTTTAAACAACCCATTTCTGCTGATACCTTTGTCTTCTTCTTGCTGATGGCTGCACTATATTTATAGTTTGAGCCACAGAGGATGAGCATCAGAGCATCCAAATTGTTGAGCAAATCTTAATTAAGGTTTAATGATTATAACATGGCCAAAGATGCAGTTGAAAACATTCTTTATTTATTTAACAGCTTATTATGGTTGTGTTCTTTTCTTTCGACCAGTCTCAGATGACCATGCCAGCTCATGACTTCAGCCTCTGTCTCTTCCTAATTCCAGAGCAATTGGTATACATTGTTAAATGAGATGGTCCTTAAATAAGTTTTCCTTTTTCCATACCGATTACTTTTAGGATTATTGATTTTTGATATTGTGAAGATTATAAGTTTATCCTTTTTGCTGTTACCTTTGCGTTTTAAGCCATTATTCACTTCTAAAATGAAGTTCTGTTCTGATATCACACTTATTGTATAAACAAATAAGTACAAAGGGAATGGAAGGTGAAAGGCTACGGAGATGACTGCAACAGGTATGTCAATAACAATACTTGGTACAATTCTACCTGCAGGAGAATTTTGAAAGAGTTGCTAAAGGAGCTTATTTGTCTTGGTCGTTCTTCTTCAGCTTAGCATGAAGGAGAGTTCTGAAATAGACGCTAAAGAAGCTTCTTCTCCTATTATGACTGTACATATGCAGTGAAGAAAGGATCTAAGCCTACTGTTTTTGTTAAACATTTTAGGTAAAAGGAAAACAATCATGTTATTTTCATTTCTCTTGAGAATTAGAAATGAGAAAGAGGACAGTTCCTTAATTAACTATTTAAGCATTAACTATACACATTAATTGTTCTTTGGCATGTAGAAAAGTGAGATACTCGTTGGACTTGCAAGAAATGGTAAGAAATGGTCAAAATTATGATTGCTCGTCTCTTATCATATTGATTTAGTATTTTTTTAATTTTTTATTTAATAAACAAAATGCTGAGTCTTGTAACGTACTCATTGAATTTTTTTTCTATTTTTTGGTATATTTTTTTTCCATTGAAAATTCCATTATTGACTAAGTTTATTTAAATTTATTTGTATTACTTGTTGATATTTGCAAATTTTAATATTGTAATTATATCCAAATAACTGATAGAATTTAATAAAGATGTTTTCTTAAAATACAGAGATATGATCTATTAAAAACAGATTTTTTTATTTATTTGTCAATACAATGGTATGTTTATTACATCATCCCCTCCTTGGTTTGAGCCTTCTACATTGCATAATTTATGAAAAATAATAATAATGGTTATAGTTGATTTGTCTTAGATGAATCATTATTCTTTAAAGTTTTTTTCTTATATTTGATTATGTTAATTTATTCAAATTATTTGTATTTTTTTAACTTTGGTACCTAAAATATTCTTTATATGCAATATAATTCAATATTTGATCATCCTTCAAATGTTTGTTGTTTTCATCAAAATAATAATGTTACTTTCGCTTTTAGTTTTGTTTCATAAGTATATATTTTTTGAAATTTTGTGAATTTATATTAGTAGAATTCAGATCTTTGTTATTGTTTATGTACAGAGCTATTCATCGTACCTTCTTCATGAGTATCTCAAACTGTTCTTTTTCTCCATTATATTATGATATTATTTGAGTCATTTATGATGTTTATTATAGTTTTAATTGGTCATGTTATTTTAGTTTTAAGATCATCTCCAATCGTTCGACAAACAGTCGAATGGAGGCCCTCAAACGTCGCAACCGAACGCCATTTTTTCCGCCATTTAATCGCAGTTGAATAGTGCAACGCCAATATTGGCGTCGCACTGTTCACTTGCGCCATTTCTTTCTCTCTACCGAAATCGTCTGAGAGGCGTGAAAGAAACGAGTGATGATTTGGGGGCAAAATGGCATTCCACTGGAGATAGAATCACGACACTTTTTGATTTTATTGCATTTTGCAATGAAAAATGAAAATTTCGGTTGGAGATGCCCTAAAGATGAGCATCAACTTGAGAATGCAAAGCAAATTTTGACTGATAGTAGTTATTTCTTTTTTCCTTTGGGCCTTATTTTGATTTTTTTTAGAAGAAATAGTTATGTCGTGAGTTATTTTCTTTGCTTACCAGCCAATTGATTTGAATATTTCTCTTAATGTTTTTTTTAGTTTTTAATAACAAATTTTGTCTTCTTAAATTTGGTATACTAATGTCAAAAAATAAATCAACTGGGAACCCTCACATTATACATAAACATGATTCTTATCTTTAATTTAACTTTAATGAATATATTTGAAGAATAATAGATATTTATATGTCTATTAATTATGTATAAATAATTTATAAGCATACAAATATTAGAGGAAAAAATATAGGACAGGCAGAACGTTGAACTGATTAGAGAAGAGCTAGGAAACCTAACAAAACAATATATTCATAAAAAGAAAATTGAAAATATACCAAAGCAGAAATCGAACCCTAAATTCAAAATATAACTATATAAGAAGCAATCAAATCAAAATATACAGAAACAATTAAGGTGCATTTTCTTAATTGCTGGCATTTTTAATGAAAAACATGAACAGTTTTATAGCTCCTAACATATATTTGACAGCAAAAAATCAATCAATGGAAAAAACAAGATGCATTTGAAAGTTTTCATAATAGTTCGGCGAGCTTACATGAAGTGCGATGGAGCATTCAAGCCGACCGGTGGTTTGCAAGCTTCAAAAGCACTGAAGTAAATACTAAACAAACAGAATTCAAAGAAAAACACAAGCAGTGTTATAGGTTTTAACAGATATTTGACCGCAAAAAAATCATCAATGGGAAAAAGAGCATGCATATGAAAATTTTCATAATAGTTCACCGAGCTTACATGAAATGCGATGGAGCGTTCAAGCCGACTGGTGGATTGATGGGTTTGGTGAGATAGAAAGACGGATCGGGTGATGCGTTCGGTGAGCGGGAGATGAGCGAGAACCAATATTGCATCAGAGAGGTAGATAGTGAAAGAAATGAGAAGAAATGATGAGATGGGGTTTAAATGGTGATCCGTTGCTCAATGGATGTTGCAATATTATTATTTATTTGCTTGCATTCATATTCAGAGGATTTCAAAAATAAAAAATTTACCACGAAAATGTATAATTTTCTGTCAATCGCAGCTTTCATTTACCATGAGATTTGGTTTTGCATTTTAGGAAGTTTGGTTGGATTTCACTCAAATCCGCCTCAAATCCAGCCTAAATCCGGCTACCAAATAGTACCTTAATACAAATGCATTTTTTAGGCAGATTAAAAGTATATATTTATTTATTTTTAAATTATAAAAATTTAAAGGCAAAAAAAAAAAAAAAAAAAAAAAACCCAAAGAATAAGAATAGTACTGCACGAAGTAATCAAAGAATCGAATTCCCACTCCATAAATTTTCTTGAAACGCACCGTTACAATTCGGATTCAATTTCGAATCCAGTGAAAGGAACGCCCTAATTGGGTTGAACCGGAGGGAAGCGAGAGGAGAGCGGAGACGCCGGCAATCGGGCGATGAAACCCCGGTACCGTATGTCGTCGGTCGTGTGTGTGTCGTCGTTGGAACCCTCGTCGAAATTAAGGGCGTAGCTGAGGGGATCGTATTTGAAGTCGGCGGAGTGGTGGCGGCGCTTCCCGATGTTGGAGATGAAGTTAGGACATTTGATGTGCTCGCTCGCCTTCGATCGGAACCAAGAGGAGGGAGAGCGAGAGAGGCTCACCGGCGAGGGGGTGCCGTCGTAGACGGTGGCGCTACGGCCGAAACAGGAGGAGAAGCAGGAGCAGGAGGAGGAGGCCGAGGAAGAGTGGTGATGGCGCGTTCGCAGAGGGAGCGGAGCCGACGGTGAGTCCGGCTCGTCCCGTACGTGTGCCATCGGTTAGTTTTTTCCCTTTTTTTTTTCTTTTTTTTTGGTTCTTAAGGATTCCAATTTTGTTAAATAAGATTTTCTAATTTGTGCTGAAAATTAGTTGAGATGGTTACAGATAAGATTTACCAGAGCCGCACAAACTTGTGAGCTGTGAGGCCCTTGTTTTCTGTTAGTTTCTGTTTTTTTTTTTTTTTTTCTTTTTTTTTTTTTTTCCTCTTTTACCTTGGTGAATCGTCATGGAAGATTGTCATTATCTATTTTATATTTTAGCCAGCCTTGCTATTTGTTACCATATCGATTTTATGATATATGCTAAATATTTCTGGTAATAATTTGTAGTAATTATAAATAACAATAGTCACTATCCCACAAGGAAATGGAGCAACCACATTTAATCACTCTTCCAAACCGTTTGATCAAAATAAACCAAGCAATGTACACCCTAAACTTTGTAAAAGATTTATCTGATCTAATATTCCTGTTGTCCCCCTTATTCTCTGTGTAAACATACCTCATTCTGCAAATAAAAGAAGCTGTAAGAAAAGAATACACTAGGTAATATGAGAATGCAGTTTTCCATATATTATTTTAGCTCTCTGTTTTCTGCTTTGAGATGCATCCTTCAGCTCTCGGTATAGCAAATAAGTTCTGAAATTCAGCAAGATGAAGCTCTTCTTCAGAGCATCTTGCCTGGAGGCAACTCCTATTCGCATTCAATGGATCAAGCAGCCACATTGCAACTTGCTGACATCATATCTACAACGCAAGTCAATGAGCCTCACATTTGCTCCTCACTTAAATTTGTTATATCCAATATCAAAATTATTGTCCCTACCCAATTTTCGAATGACATCTACACTATGTGGAGATCCAAAATCCTCAAGCTCTTCCATGCTAATGATTTTGCTGGCTTATTAGATGGCATGACCGACCAATCGCCTTGTCTTATTTTTGATTCCAATGGGTAGTCGTAGCTGAAACTTGCCTTTAATCAATGGCTTCTCATAGACAAAACTTCGTTGTTGCTATCTGCTCAACCTTATCAACTATTGTCCTTCCCTGTGTGATTCTACTTGAATCATGCCGAGACTTTTCAGCTACTATTGAACATTGCTTACAATCTTCCAACTTCTATCATGGCAACTTAAAAATGAACTCCACAATATTTCCATGAAAAATCAATCCATGATTCAATATCTCACAAAGATTAAATACTTAGTAGAAAATATAGAAGATGCAGGATCAACTGTGGACATTAAAGATATCATACTCTATAACATCAATGGTTTTCCAACACAATATCAAACTTTCAAAATCTATATCAGAATCAAACTCATACCAATCAGCCTTGAGAATCTGTACTCTCTATTTCTCAGCGAGGATATCAACTTGGCCATTGATTAAGAGAACTTCTATTAAGCCCTTTACATCTCTAGAGGTCGCAAAAAACCTAGTCGTGCTCGCAATTGCAACACCAAGGCAACCACAACACTGTTGTCCCACAAGACAATAACCTTGGATAAAATTCTCATCTAATTCTATGCCAAATCTATGGAAAGTGCGGTCACACCACTCCAATGCTGGCATTACTTGAATGTCAACTATGGCTTCCATTCCTCTCAGCCTCAATCTAATGCCCTACTCACCACATCCTCAAAAAATAGGAGCAAACTAGTATATAGATTATGGCGCTTACCCTCATCTTACTCCTCCATCAACTCCTAGATGAAGTTACAATTGACAATGGCGGCTCCGTTCCTATAGCCCACATTGGTCAAGATTTGCTTCTTATTCCACATCATAAGCTCTCCCTTTCTACTCTACATATGACCCTTATTTATCTCACAATCTTCGTTCTATCTCAAACCTAACCATTGATAACAAAGTGTCTTTTTCTTTTGATGCCTTTGGATACAATATTAATATTAAGGATCTGAATAGTCATCTACACCCTTGGGGACCATGCCATAATGATATCTATCCTATTCAATTACCACAACTCCAAATTTCTCATTATGCTCTAACCCCAATACCTTACCTTCCTCGCTTTTACATCAATGACTACACCCTCATCGTCAAGCCAAGAAAACAACAATCTCAATATTCCTACTAGCTTTTCCTTTTGCATTTCTTGTAATGCCTCCAAAGACCATATATTACCTTTTGTAAAGTTTAACAATACAGTTACAAACCACTAGAGCTAATGCCAGATGTATGCAGGATCTCTCTTATCTCAACAACCAAGGGTTTTAAATATTATGCTTTTTTCATTGATGAATTATCTCATATGTGGATTTTTCCTATGTTTTAAAAAATTAAGTCGCATCTCATTTCATCAAACTTTAAACCTTCTTGAAAATCAACTCCTATATAAACTTAAATGCCTTCACATAGATGGACGAAAATAATATGTCAACAGTTACCTTCAAACTTACATACAAAACAATGGAATCATACATCAAATCAATTGTCCCTACACCCCAGAGCAATTCAACCTTGTCGAACATAATCACATGCATATTATTGAAACTACTCGCACCTTGCTCCATGTTGCTCATCTTTCATGTAATCTTTGGAGTCTAGAGAGAAATTACTCACGACAATTTACGTCATCAATTGCATGCTCTCCACTAAAATTGATGATGTTTCGTTTATAAATTGTTATTTTTTGTAGCCCTTGCCTTAATCAAGCACGAAGGACTCTTTTTAGGTAATTTGATGCTTCAGTCTCATTGGCATGTTTTGTTTTGTGTATGGATAACATTTGAGTAATTTTGACCCAATCGAGGTATCTCGAATTCAATGCATGCGACGTAGCGTCTATAAATCACCATTCTCATCACACTTGCTCTAGTTAGTAGCAGCACATATACGGAGGTTAACATTGAGTTCACCTAAACTCTTTAAAAATAGTTCTTCATATTGCCTTTAGGGTTTAAGTAAATCTACAGCAACTCAGAATTTTATAAATGCCTTTTCTACTTTCTAGGTCATATCTATAATTTTTATTAGAATATGTATTCCAATTTATTCTATCGTTTATGTTATTTTTGAGTGTTATGTTGTTATGTTCATGTTTCCAATTTGCCCTGCTATTGTATTGCCTTTTTTTTTCATGACCATGTCTTGATTCTAAATATCATGCTATGTTACGACAGTAAATTTCAATTCATTTTATAGTTATGCTGATGTTTATAAATTCCCTGTCGCTATCATGCCTTTGATTCTATCTACCATGCTATGTCTATGATCTCAAACTTGTCCTATTCCTTTGATTCTAAGTTAACAATCAAAGTTAGAAGTTCTTCCAGATAAAGGCATTGCATGTGCGTGTTACTAATATATGTGCACATGTTTTATGATTTTTTATTTATTTTTTATTTTGTGCATCTTTTATGACAATTTAAAAATTTTTAGAATGTATAGTAACTTATATTTTTTATTTTATCACCCTTTTCTACCTGTGTTCCAACTTTTGGGTTAGATGATGATATGTGATTCTTTTGCATCACAAGATGAACATAAAACCTGCATTGAACAGAGTATAACTTTCTTCTTCTGTTGCATGCTGGGCTTCTAAAGATTAGGCAGAAAACAAGAGAAATATTATTTCATACCGCCATAGTTCATGAGCCAAGATGTCCCCAAGGATTACTTTATGTCAGTGTACAAGTGGTTGACATTGATTGTTCAAAAGATAATTTTGTATGGACTAATGTGCATAAGAACTACAATCTAGATGAGATAATGGTGATAATTGGAAGATATTTTTTTCTTCAAAATCTATCTTCATGATTGACATCACCAATGTGTTGTACTCTGTCACTGGAAGAGAATTGTTTGTGGTTGTCGAGTATTTGCCTTTTTTTAATGTTGCTGACTTCAATTTTTATCAATAAAAAGAACTCGTGCATTCCTTTTTTCGGTTAAAATGTCTTATCGTCCAGTCACGTTTATGGCGCTCCAGGTTTCCACGTACTCGGCACCGTAAGATTAAAGAGCATTTTTTGTGAATTTTTAATTTCATATTCATTATAAAAGGTGAGTAATCTGCCATCTATGGTGTGTCCTTTATAATATTTAGCTTTCTCTAACAAGACTAGCTCGAAATCAAGGTTTAAAATTGCGTAAATAAGCCTCGAGGCTTTTTTCGTCCGTGAGGCGAGGCGTGAGCCTCGAGGCGGTGTGAGGCGTAAGCCTCACCGACGAAGAATTGCGTAAATAAGAATTTAAGGGTTTTAGCAAGTAAGAAATAGTAAGATTCGATCATACAATAAAAACATCTAAATGACAATTAAAATTAGGGGAAAGTAAGAAAATTGG